TTATTTTTTTCAAATATCTTAGCAGAGGTGCTCATTGAACGTTGACAGCATATAAAATTTAAGAATATTATTTACTGCCTGGAGGAGAAACTGGTGGGGCAAATAAGTGAAGGAAGCTCACATATAAAGGGTGGGAAATGAATGTTTAACTGTCTGTCCTGCAGTAATTACGAACTGGTTTTATATCTATACTTTGCCTTTTGTTGCTCATTTTTTGATGAACTGTTGACCTGATTGATTTTCTCATACGTCTGGATTGTGGGTCTGTTTTCTGAGTTTCTATCAGCTAGTTTTCTGACTTTGTAAAAGCAAGGTGGTACTGTTGGAGGCATCTCAAAATGAGTGTTCTGATTCATATAAAGAGTAAGGATGGCTGTATCCATACTGGAGAACACAGCAGAGAGTTAAGGAAGGACATCTGCCCATTAACCAGCAGTAAATGAGAGTTCATTACTTTGGTTTCAGCCTGGTAGTGCTGTGCCCAAAGTTTTCACTGGGCTGTTCATACATAGGGATGCTATGAGCAGGAATTTAACGTGGTTTCCTTTTTCTGTCTAAGGCTAACTTTAAGCATCTTTTGTTAGTGTGTTTTTAATATGCTTTTGATATGCTGAAAGTCTCCCCAAAGAAACCTACATATGGGTGCTCCCTGGTGGTGCAATGGGTAAGGACGCAGCACTGCAAGCTAGCCTTAGCTGCTTCAGCTCCATCCCCAACCCCGGAGGTGACCCACATGGCACGGCAGACCTCTCCTGACAGACCCACTGCTCCCCTAAGCAATGTACCTCATTGATCTGCCTGTTCTGCTCCCCATTCTGTCTCCGGAGAATTCTCTCACCACCCCTGGATCTCTGGCTTCTGTATGCATACAGTTCTGTATGCATAAATAAAATATATCTTAAAAAAAAAAACCTACATGTTACACTTTAACTTAGCTCAGTTTATTTGTTTCTTGGCCGTTAGTGGGAATTCCTTGTTCTTGGACCTCATTTGTTATCCCAACACAGGAGGAATGAGTCAGGGGTGCTCTGAATGCCAGCACATTGCTGTGTCCTTGTAGTGGGATTTGCCCTTTGACTGAGACAAGACTGCATTCACCCTCTGTCCCTGTTGGCTGGAGCTGCAGTGCCAAGTGGGAAGTGGTCAGCCCTCTTCTCCACTTCTTAGAAGACAGTGTTTTGAAATAAGCTTACTATTGAAAATTTCACTCATTTTTGGAAAGCGAAGCTGCATGTCTAAATTGGAATTTGCTCACATTTAGAAAGTGGTTATGGTGATTTGTTTTGTGTGTGTATAGAGGTAGTATTTATTTTACGTCATATGATGACTTGGTTTTTAGAAATAAGGAATTTGGAGGCTAGAATAATCCCTTCACTCTTTGTGAGTTCTGGACTCAGATGTTTAAAGCTGCCATGGGACAGTCCAAGGCATTCTAAGATGAGTAAGGTAAAACTTAGGGAGCATTTGAGAGGTACTTTCTTTCATTCATTCACTTACTCACCCACCCTGTTTCTCAAGCTAGGTCTGGTCTGTGTCAGGTACTTGGTCTCATTTGATGAACTCCTCTTTCTGTCCTGGGACTGGAAATTAGGAATGGAAAAGGAGGTGCCAAATTCAAGTGAGCTTATCTATGTGAAAAGGGAAGACTAGGTGGAGAAGAGAAAAGAGTTGACCTCAAATTTTCATTCTAACAGTCTCACCATCCAGATCTTAGAAGTCATACAGCTGAATTTGACCTGCAGCGTGTCAGGCCTTCTGCTAATGTTTATGACACAAAAATAACTAAAACTGGCTGCTCTTGATCTAGTAGGTGCAACAGACAGGGAAATGGCATGGTAAAGTGCTGTGCAACAGCTGTCTGTGCTGGACTGAGAAAACTGACAGAGCAGCAGAAAGAATCATACAGTGAAGCGTGTGTGTCCAGAACTTCATGGTTGCTTAGCAAGTTGGCAGAATACTAACAGACAGTAAAAACAATGTTTAAAATTCTCCAGTTGAGAAAGGGGACCAAACCAAGCTGATGGAGCATCAAGGTATGAAAGTGCAGGAAACAGCCAAGGTGGCTAGAAAGAAAGCTGAAAGGCCAGGTGTGGGCTAAACACTTTGCTTTGACAAGAACCTTATGCTGTAGGCTGTTGGTTCTTTGAATCTAAGGGCCTGTTTTTACCATTAAGCATTGTATTTTGTATTTTGTTAGTCTGTAAAAGAGAGATGTACTCTTTAACACTTTGTATATTATAGTTTCTATTTAACCACATACCCAAATCATATTGTAAACTTGTTTCTAGGTAGTCATTTGAAGAAGGTAGCATAAGAAAAAGTGACCTGATTTATTTCAGGAACTAGTACAATGTCACTTTCTCATTATTTCAAGAAAGGTAACAATTAGTGATTCTTCAGTCTCTTCTCACAGTGACCACAGCCACTGACTCTTTCTAAGTTGCCCAGTAGGTTGGGAATCACTGTCCTCCTTCGAAGAAGCAGCACCAGCTCAGTAGGATTCTGTCCGTGTCTTGTTTTTGCTTACTTGCAATTTCCTTTCAGAGCCTTTAGTAGTGAAGGATTGAGATTAGCAGTTGATTAACTGAAGTATCTTTCTGGCCACCTAGGAAACTCTTAAGCAAATAGTTAAACTTATTAGTAGGTGACAGTTCTCCTACCACTCCTGTACTCCCATAGTATGGAAGAAAAAACACAACAAGATTTCCATATAGTTTTGTTTACTGATTTAAATGAAAGTTATTTTATATTGTCCATCTGTATTTTTCCTCTGCTGTCAAAATATCTTTTTAGTTTCAGTATAATATTAAGAAGCTAGATATTTAAACGACCTTTCTTGGAATAATGAGAAATTAACATTGTACTTATTCTCTATTTTTAAAAACTATTGTAGTTGATGAAATAAATCAGGTCACTCTTTCTTATGCTACCTTCTTCAAATGACTACCTTGAAATAAGTTTACAAAGTGAGTTGGCTATATGGTTAAATAGTAACTACAGGGCCCTCCCTGGTGGCGCAGTGGGTTAAAGCACTGCACTGAGAAGCTAACACCACTTCCGCATGAGTTCGATTCCCGCCTGCCCCGGAGGTGACCACATGGCGTGGCAGACCTCTCCTGACCCGCCCACTGCTCCCCTCAGCAGTTTACTTTGTTGATCTGCCTGTTCTGCCCCCCACTCTGTCTCTTGTGAAGCCTCTCGCCGCCCCTGAGCCTCTGGCCTGTACCCCAGTTCTGTATGTACAAATAAATCTTAAAAAAAAAAAATAGTAACTACAATTTACAAAGTGTTAAGAGTACATCTTTCTAAAGATCAACTTTTGGAAAAACATCCCAAGAAAAGAGAATAAAAAAACAGTATTGTGCTTAGAAATACAATATCCTCAACAAAATCCTAGCAAACCACATCCAGCAATATATAGAAAGGAGTGAACACTGTGACCACTGTTACAGGAACACCATGTTCACTTACTGTCTGAAAATCAATTCATATAACGCACATATTACTAAAGAAGGGAAACCACATGGTCATCTTTTTTTTTTTTTTTAAGATTTATTTATTCATACAGAATTGGGGTACAGGCCAGAAATGCGGAGGATGAGAGCCTTCACCAGAGACAGAGTGGGGAGCAGAACAGGCAGATCTACGAAGTACACTGCTGAGGGGAGCAGCGGGCGGGTCAGGAGAGGTCTGCCGTGCCATGTGGATCTCCTCGGGGCAGGCGGGAATGGAACTCATGCGGAAGTGACTTCAGCTTCTTAGTGCTGTGCTTTAACCCGCTGTGCCACCAGGGAGGGCCACATGGTCATCTTAAAAGAAAAAGAATTTGAAAAACTTCAGCACCCTTCCATGATTCAGAACAAAGCATGTTCTTGACTAATTAAGAACAGGAGGGTACTGCCTAACCTGTTAAAGTGTATCTGGAAATATGTGACTGATGTAATTAAATAGCAAAAGACAGAAAGCTTTCCCTTTAAAGTCAGGGTTAAGAAGGTCTGTTCTCGCTACTTCATTCAACATTGTATTAGAAGTTCCAGCCAGAACAAATAGGCAAGAAGATGAAAAGGTGTTTAGATGGGAAAGAATATAAATTTGCACATAGAAAACCTTAAGAAATTCATACAAATGATAAGATCACAGACTATAAGATTAATATGTAAATAATTGTATTCTGTACATTAGCAGTGAGCAGTCTGAAAAATATGAAATTAAGGGCCCTCCCTGGTAGTGCAGTGGGTTAAAGTGCATCACTATGAAACTGTCTCAACTACTGCAGCACAATTTCAGTCCCAGCCAGGGAGCTGACCCACATGGAGCAGCAGACCTCTCCTGCTGGGTCCGCTGCTCCCCTCAGTAGTGTTTTTCAGTTGATCTGCCTTTTCTGCTCCCCACACCTCTAGCCTGTACCCCATTTCTTGTATGCATAAGTAAATAAATCTTTTTAAAAACGAAGTTTAGAAAACAATTCCTAATGTAAAGTTGCAGCAAAATAATAAAATACTTAGGATAACTGTTAGCCAAAACACCACAAATCTTATACTCTGAAACCCACATAATACGAACTAAAGAAACTAAAACCTAAATAAATTGAGTAATACACTATGCTCATGGGTTGGAAGACTTAATATTGTTTCCCCAAATTGATCTACAGATTTGATGCATTATTATTAAAGTTCCAGGTAGCTTCTTTGAAGAAATTGATAAATTGATACAAAATTTTTATGGAAGAACAAGGACTTAGAATAGGCAAAACAGGGCACTCCCTGGTGGCGTAACGGGTTGGGGTGCAGCACTGCAAGCTAATGGCAGGCATTTCTGTGTGAGTTGGAGACCCTGGCAGACGTCTCCTGTCTCGCCTGCTGCTCCCCTCAGCAGTGTCCTCGATCTGCCTGTTCTGCTCCCCATTCAAATCTGATGAGTCCTCTCACTACCCCTGCACCTCTGGCCTGTACCCCAGTTCTGTGTGCATAAATAAATAAATAAATCTTTAAAAAATAATAAAGAATAGGCAAAACAATGTAGAAAAAAACAAAGTTGGCAGACACATCTTCAAAGATAAAACTTATAACAACGCTACAAGTAGTCAAGAAAATGTGGCACTGGCATAAAAGCAGACAGAATAGAATGGAAACCCAAAGGAAAGACCTTGTTTTTGTAGTCAGTTGCTCTTCGATGAGTTACATGATAGTTTAATGGAGAAAATAGTATTGAGACAGCTGGACGTCCATATGCAAAACATTGAAGTTGAATTAGCATATACAAGAATTAGTGATTCAAAGACCTAAATATAAAAGCTAAAACTATAAATTTTTTAAAAGTGTGTTTGTGTGTACTTGAATTAGCTATGACATCAAAAGCACAAAGAGCAAAAGAAAATATAAATTGAATTTCATTAAAATTAAAAACTTTTGTGCTTCAAAAGCTAACATCAAGAAAGTAAAAGAAATCCAAGAATGTTAGAGAATATTTGCAAATAATATCTATGATAAAAGAATTATCAAGAATATATAAAGCACTTTTATAACGTAGTAATAAAAAAGATAGCCCAGTTTTAAAATGGGCAGAGGATCTGAATAGATAGTTCTCCAAAGAAAATATGCAGCTGACCAATAAACATGAAAATATGGTCTCCATCGTTGGCTATCAGGAAAAGGCAGATCAGAACTGCAGGAAAATACCACTTTACACTCGGTAGGATATGAAAGGTAATAACCAGTGTTGGTTCCGACATGGAGAAACTGAAACCCACATATATTGCTGCTGGGAATGTAAAACAGTGCAGGCACTTTCAGAAGCTTAATCTCAGAGAATTAAACAGTGTTAACAATAGGATGCAACAGTTGCACTCCTAGGGATATGCCCAAGAGAATTGAAAACATGTTCACATAAAAACATACATGAAGGTTCATATTAGCAGCTTTCATATAGATAAATGTGGAAACAAGTATCCTTCAGCCGCTGAACAGGTCGAAAAAAATTTGGTATGTCCATACAATGGAAGGTTGGCAATAAAAAGAATGTACTGACATTGTACAGGGAGTTGATGAACCCTGAAAACATCACTCCAAGTGAAAGAAGCCAGACAAAATATCACATGCCTTGTGATTCTATTCATATGAAATGTCCAAGGTAGGCGACTTCCAGGGATCAGTAGTTTTCTGGGGATGGTGGAATACGGAGATTATGAAGTGATAGCTAACAGGAAAAAGATTCCACTTCGGGGTGATGAAATGTTCTAAAGTTGCAAAGATGATAGTGAGGATTCTTATAAAACTGTAATCACACACTTACAGTGTAAATTGTATGCTGTGTGAATTACATCTCAATAAAACTGTTGTAAAAAAAATAGGGGTATGTCATATATTTTTCATGGTGCTAAGTTGTTTTTTTGTGCCATTAGATTTGGTTTTGAACCTTATTGTCCTTTCCGTTCCAGAGCTGAGCCTCTCCACTGGCTGTGTGCAGCTGGAGAGCAAAAGGAAGGACTTCACCTCCTCTGGCAGTAGGAAGCTCTACTTTGACACCCACGCGTTAGTGTGCTCACTTGAAGGAAATGGTAACCCTCTCTCATTGGTTCCCTGCCTTTAAAAAGTGCAATAAATTACGAGTTCTGTTATGATTTGATCTAACTTATCTTTCTGACTCTTAAGTCTATAGGTCATCTTCTAGAAAATCTGGTTTTTTCATTCCCTTGTTCATTCTTTCAGGAAATTTTTGCTTTATCAATACAGTTGAGATGTTTTTCACACATTTCTCTTTCTTCAAATGAAGTGTATTTTTATAACATCACTGTGGATATATAGCACTGTAGGTAAAAACTCAGGTCAGCAAAACTCAGGATTGCAGCCCTCCCTGGTGGTGCAGCGGGTTAAAACGCAGCACTGAGAAGCTAAAGCCATTTCCGCATGAGTTCGATCCCCACCTGCCCCGGAGGAAATCCACATGGTGCGGCAGACCTCTCCTGACCTGCCCCCTGCTCCCCTCAGCAGTGTACTTCATCAATCTGCCTGTTCTGCTCTCCACTCAGTCTCTGGTGAATCCTCTCACCCTCCACATCTCTGGCCTGTACCCCAGTTCCATATGAATAAATAAATAAATCTTTAAAAAAAAACTCAGGATTGCTTCCTATAACAACTGTGAAGCACAAAAATAGTGCTATCACTCTGCATCTTGGTTTTAAATTTTTTTATGGAACTAAAATGTAGGTAGTTGAGCAGCAATTAATGATACTCTCACCTTATTCTTTGTTTTTTAGTAATCAGATTAACATTCCTCATGGTCAAGAGAGTCCCAAAACCCCTTTGAGCATTCAGTGAAATAATTTACTTGAATGCACTTTGGAAAAACTGACAAATGCTGCATAATAATTTCTGCAATTTTTTCAAATTTGACTTTTAGTCCAGAACATAAAAGGGGAAAGTAGAAGTGAGAAGAGGAGACATCTAAACTTATCTTGAAAAGCAGGCATCTTCCTCTTTGCTTTTTCTTTTTTACTTTTCTCTGCATGTGTGTTCTTTGTGATTTTCTATTCAAAGAAGTGAATTATAGAATACATTCGAACTACAGGGGGCATCTACATGGAATTGAGGAGACACTGTTAATTTGCTAAGTGTGAAGGTGTTGAGGTGGCTGTAAGTGAACTCAGGGTCTCAAGCCTTCCTCCCATGGACAGGTGCAGTGTATTTTCCCTCTCCCCCTTAAAAGTGTTACTTATTCTGACAAAAATCCTATGCATTTTAAGAGATCAAATGCACTGTTTTGACATGTACTTTCTGCTTCTCTTGATTTCAAACCTTGACTCAAGAATATTTATATATTCCCAGACCACTTATAGGAGGCTGTGAAGATGCTTACTAGGCCTGACAGTGATAATGAGGGTCTCAAAGTGACTAGGTTATAATAAGGCCAGACAGGGAAAGGCCCAGAGCCATGTTTCTAAACAAAACTTCCTATGTGTCTGTAATTTCACTAACCGTGAATGTGTCTTGTTCTCTCATTCCAACAAAAACTAATTTGTACCTGGTAACTCAGTAGGTTTTCATTTTTAACTTCAGCTTTTTATGGATTTTATGGGTAGGGATTTTACCATAAAACCCCTACCACAGGGGGTTTCAAGTGTTTAGACTTTGGAGTTTACTACCAGTGTTAAGTTTTCTTTCTGTTTGTTTCTCTTTTCTTCATAATTGCCTAACCAAGTTATGGTTTGCTATGAATTCTTCTTATTAAAGTATTAAAACTTACAAATGTTCATTTTCAAAAAATTAGGATGACAGAAAAGGAACAAAAAAAGCTATTTCTGTTTCCCATTTCCCCATAGCTACACAACATTATCATGTGAGTGTGTAAATATTGGAATGGCTTTCTAGATGTGCATAACCACACATTGAAAATGAAAGGATTTTGATTAAAGTGAAAGGAATAGGTCTTTTGTCTCTTTAAATGCATATTTTTTAAATTGTAATCCCATTCAAATAGTACCAGTTATACTTTTTCCAAACAAATTTAGATTCTTCTGAAGTTCTTATAAATAGAAGAATTTAACAGAGAGAATTACTTCCCAGTAAACTGATTTTAAACATTTTATTAGAATTTCTAAGTTGATATACAAGTTGCTAAAATTTTTTAAAGCAGTAACAGTGCTGAGCTAAAGTTTTGCTTAGTTCAATTCAGTATCATTTATTGAGAATCAGAGTATTTTTTTTTCCAGTTTGGTTTCCCTTAAAAGTTACTGAAGTGGCCCTCCCTGGTGGCGCAGCGGGTTAAAGCACAGCACTGAGAATCTAAAGCCGCTTCCGCATGAGTTCGATTCCCGCCTGCCCCGGAGGTGACCACATGGCGTGCCAGACCTCTCCTGACCCGCCCACTGCTCCCCTCAGCAGTGTACTTCGTCGATCTGCCTGTTCTGCTCATCACTCTGTCTCTGGTGAAGCCTCTCACCGCTCCTGAGCCTCTGGCCTGTACCCCAGTTCTGTATGAACAAATAAATAAATCTTTAAAAAAAAAAAAAGTTACTGAAGAGAATTGCAGAGAAAAATGAAAGAACTGGTTTTGTTTTTCAACACTAAACCCACAGCTAAATTTATCTAGTCAGTGTTAGATGGAGAAAATTTGGCTTTCCCAGAAATAGAGCTCTAAGACATTCAGGGAAGGGAGAGGGGTGAGTGCAAAGAAGGGGGACACAAGGGATGATGGGAGATTCCTGGTGCTTGGTAGTGGGAGTGCTGCTAACATCTCCAGAAGGGAAAATCCTAACCTTCCAAAATATAAACAATGTAAACCAACCTTAGCTCAATTAAAAGAGTTATAACAACGATAATTTAACTTTCCTAATTAATTTTTTGCTAGCATATACATTTTTAAAAGGAAACCACATCCATTCTAGAAAATTTAGATAGAGATAAAAAAACAGAAGAAAGTAAAAAATTACCTAGACTCTTTGTTAAATTACAAAAACTAATATCTGTAATTTTGTGTCTGGCTTGTTTTCACTTGACTTTGAACTTCAGGTCATTATACTTTCTCTAAAAACAACTTCAGGCCACCAGGAAGGACATGAAGGCTCATGAGTCAGCCAAGCCTCATTTTTCATGGAAATTTTTTTTCCGGACATCTAGAATTCACCTGAGTGTGATTATCTTTATGTGTTTGTTCAGGGTTTACTACACAGCAAGCAGAAATCATTGTGTCTGCACTGGTCAAGATCATGGATGCCAACATGGATGTTGTCTACAAAGATATGGTCACCAAGATGCAGCAGGTTTGTTTTGTCAGGCACCTGAGCAAATATGAAAGCTGAAGGTGGGATTATTTGTAGATTATCTTTTCAGATAATTTTCTGTTGAAGAGTAGTGAGTGATTTTAGCCATAATTGAGAGGCAAGTCACAATGTTATAAAGTATTTTTTCAAAGCTACTTAGTGAAATGATAGAATTGTGCTATTAACTTCAGAATTGTTCTGTCAAACAATAAAAATGTAGAGGTGGGCAGAATTGCAGTGCTAGGTCTTGAACTTGGTCACCCCCCTTTCTGACTGTAGTTTACTTGAGAATGATACTGGACTTGTGTTCTATTCTTTCTGTTTTCTCATTTTGTAATTTTTTTAGCATCTTTTCTATGATGACATTTGATGGGAGGTGGACTTTGTAGACTAGACTAGGTTATATGTTTTGTTTTTCTTTTCCTAGGAGATCACTCTTCAGCAAATAATGTCTCAAATTTCTAATGTGAAAAAGGATATGATTATTTTGGAGAAGAGTGAGTTTTCCATGCTCAGAGAAGAAAATGAGGTAAAACTAGAATTGTTCATATTTACAAAATACTTTATATTAAGGTACTGTAACATATAGCAATGTAAAAACACAGGAAAGTGTACATCTTGGTGAATTTCCACCAGAGTCTTGCTCATGTCCCATAGTAGTCACACTTCCTCAGAGGAAGCTATTCTCCTGCTTTCTTTTGGCTGTGACTAGTTTAGTCTATTCCAGAACTTTATCTGGTGAGATCATAGGGATTGTCCTTCAGTGTACATCATTCTTTTCCATACAGCATTATATGAATATGCCACATTACTTTACTCTTAACCTTTGTTAGGATTATTTCCAGTTTTGAGTTATTATGAATAAGTGTCGCTGTAAACTATCCCATAGTTTATTACAGTGTGTCCTGTGGTATCAGTGTTTACATAAATGCCCTCTTTGCATTTGCCTTTTAAAATTCTTAAGGGAGGCTCTCCCTGGTGGTGGAACGGGTTAAAACACTGCATTATGAAGCTATCTGAAGGCACTGCAGCACAAGTTCAATCCCCAGCCAGGGAGGTGACCCACATGGCATGGCAGACCACTCCTGACCTGCCTGCTGCTCCCCTCAGCAGTGTACTTCCTTGATTTGCTTGTTCTGCTTCCCACTCTGTCTCTAGTGAATCCTCTTACCCACCATACCTCTGGTCTATACCCCAGTTCTATAAGCATAAATAAATAAATCTTTTTAAAAAATAAAATAAAGTTCATAAGGGAAATCCAATTACTACCTTTTGGTCTTAACCTTATCCTTAAATTCAGGGCAGAATTAATTAAAAGAAAGTTCAAAGGCTGAGTTAGAGAATACAGCTTCTCTGAAGGCAAATGTATATGTTTTGGGGGGCTTTTTTTCTCTTTCTCTTTCTCTTTTCTTTTATTTATTTATACATACAAGAGCCAGAAGTGCAGGGGGTGAGAAGATCCACCAGAGACAGTGGGGAGCAGAACAGGCAGATCAACTGAAATATACTGCTGAGGGGAGCAGCGGGAGAGACAGGGAGAGTTCTGCTGTGCCAAGTGGGTCAGCTCCCTGGCTGGGGATCGAACTCCTGCAGATAGCTTATAGTGTTTAGAATTAAACCCTTGTGCCACCAGGGAGGAGGGCAAATGTTTATGTTAAAAACAATTGTTACCATTTTGTAACCTTAGTGATGAATTTTAACTGATCTCAGGATACTATATGGTTATGGTACTATCCTGCCTTGACGAGTAATCTTTTCTGCTACTGAAACTATTCCATTAATACTGTATTTCTTCTTCTTTTTTTTTTAAGGTTTATTCATGCATACAGAACTGGGGTACAGGCCAGAGGTGTGGGAGGGTTGAGAGGATTCACTAGAGACAGAGTGGGGAGCAGAACAGTTAGATCAACTGAAACACACTGCCAACGGGAACAATGGGCAAGACAGGAGAAGTCTGCTGTGCCTTCTAGGTCATCCCCCTAGTTGGCAATTGAGCTCATGCTGCAGAGGCTTCAATTTCTTCACAGTGCTGCGTTTTAACCCGTTGCACCATGAGGAAGGGCCCTAATATTGTATTCTTGATGCAGACAAGTTGCTATAGAATGAGGAGAGGATTTGTGCATTAGTATTGTTTTCATATTTGTTAATTACTAAGCTTTATATTATTTATTCAATGTTCTAAACATACCGTTGGCTCATTTCTTTTTAATGTGTTTTTTAGAAAATGAAACTTGAGCTACATCAATTAAAACAACAAGTAATGGTAAGAGCATCATCCTAGTTTGTTGGCTTATTTTATATAATTACATGAGCTTATCAAAATATAATGTCAGAAATATTTCATATCCTTAAAAATATTATTCCATATTAAATGTAATTAAATTCCATGTTAAATTTAATATGTTTCAAAAGTCCAAATTAGAAGATTTAGCTAAAAACACAGCCATTGAATAATTGCTGATGTCTGTACCCAAATTCACTAGGGGAAGTTATGTTGAGAATCCTGTGGTCAAAAGCAATGGTAAAGAGATTCATATATATAGCTGCATATGTCCCGAGGCAGGACTGACTCCAGATGTAGCTTGCCCAGAGTCTCTGTGTCATCAGTCCCTGTCTCTATTTGACCACAAGCCCTGTGTCTGCCCCTTCTTTCCCTGGTCCCCCTAGTTAGAGGTAGTGGAGACAAAACCCTAAGTGTCACATCCTCAGGGGATTAGATTTCTTACTTTGGATTTCTTTCTCTCTGCTGTTTGCCTTTCTTCTAGGATGAAGTACTCAAAGTCCGAACAGATACCAAGTTAGACTTCAATCTAGAAAAGAGCAGAGTAAAAGAATTGGTATGTTCTTTTATTAAAAAATATAAAATTATTTTCTTCACAGGATGGAATGTTTGATGAAGTTACAGTTTATATGCAAGTACTGTAATGTTTTACCTGTATACCAGTGTTAGCCACAGTTGCTTCTCTATTTGAATTTTATTTTGCATTTGGGCTTAAATTTTGTGCTTTCAAGGTAACAAGAAAATCAAAATCTTGGTCAAGTCAAGTTTGAATAGTCTTTATTTCCAGGATACTAAATAATGTATCCTTAGACATTATCAAAGAAATTGAATTTAATCTTGCTCTTAAGATAACTTAAGCCTCTGTCCATATATCTTGATTTTTTAACAGTTCAATTGATTATCTGGCTTAAATAATATTAAATTATTAATTTCAAGTTCTATACTGAAATTGACAAATAAAACATTTTCATGATCTTTTAAAAAAAATTTTAAAGATTTGTTTTATTTATTTATGCACACAAAAACTGAAGTGCAGGCCAGAAGTGTGCAGGTGAGAGGATTCCCCAGAGACAGAGTAGGGAGCAGAACAGGCAGACTGACTGAAATTCACTGCTGAGGGGAGCAGTGGGCAGGTCAGGAAAGGTCTCCTTAGCCCTGTGGGTCAGCTTCCTGGGCCAGGATCCAGCTCAAATTGTGGAGGTGTATCCCTGACACTTAACCCCTAGACCACCAGGGAGGCCCTCATAGTCTTTGTGCACTGCTTTAAAGAGCAAATTCTGAATGATTCTGTAAGTTAAGTTAAACTGAAATTTCTAATAAGGAAAAATAGTGCTGTCCATTTGTTACCTAAAGAAGGCCACAAAATGTAAGCTGTAAATAGCTGAGGGAGACATCTCTGTGTGCCGGTCACACCAGGACCTGCGGCCTGGAAGAGCAGCTCTGTAGCCTTCGCCAAGGCTTATTAATTATATAACTGGAAATTTGTACCTTTTCATCCTCTTCACTTCTTCACTTTTCCCTGCCCCCAATCTTGACAAACATCAATTTGTTTTCTTTATCTGTAAGCTCAGGAGGCTTTTATTTTCCCCTTTTTGTAAAGAATCACATGTAAATGAGATTGTACTGAATTTGTCTTTTTCTCTTTGACTTATTTTACTTAGTATAATGCTTTCAAGGTTCATCCATGTTGTTGTAAAAGTCCAAATTTTCTATGACTGGATAATACTATATTGTATATATAGAACATTTGCCTTATCTTTGCATCAATCAGCAAGGATGTGTGTTGGCTGTTCTAAACAACTCAGTAGTGAAAGTAGGGGTGACAGATGCCCCATAATAGATGACTGGATCAAGAAGATGTAGTATATATACACAGTGGAATATTATTCAGTTATCAAAATAATCCATTCTTGCCATTCACAGCAACATGGGTAGTACTAGAAGTGATGCTCAGTGAAATAAGCAAAAAGGAAAAATATCAGATGGTTTCAACTATAGGAGGAATGTAGGGGAACCAATTAAGGGGTCAGGAAAAAATATAATTATAATAAATTTTAAAACAAAATTAACAGTCAACTATTAATCAGAAACACTGTTGGGGGGGAGGAAGAAGGATCAAAATGGGAAGGGAGAGCACAGAGACTGTGTTGATGGTGTAGGAGTAAATTGGTGCATTGTAAGAATAGGAAGAATGATGTAAAATATACATTAAAATTAATGATAAAAAGAAAAAAGAAAGTAGGGTGAAATAAGTTGCATGTGTTAATAAAGATATGTGTTAGTAATTTTTAGTCCATCTGTCTTTTTATTTGCACCTTATTTGAATTTGATAACATTAGGTACTTTTGTTATTCTCAACATAGTGAAAAATAGGGCACAGATGTTTTCACTAACATGGAGCTAGATATATATTCAGACACTTAGTACTCAAAATTATTCATTGTTTCTCATTTTTTCATAATTTGCTTTTAACCAAAATGCCCTACAATGATAAATGAAGGCAGTCTGGAAATTTGGGCAAATACGTGACTGTATTTATAAACTGCCTCTGATTTCAAGAGTTAAGTTGAGCTTCATTGTACAAAGTAACTGCTATGCCTATCTTACCTGTCTTTCTAGTCTTAAAGTATTTGTCAGGCATGAGATACCTATTGTCTCAGAAGTACTTAGTGATCACTAGCATATGACTAGTATCTTTTCATTTTATTTTTTTTTTAAAGATTTATTTACACATACAGAACTGGGGTACAGGCCAGAGGCTCAGAGGCAGTGAGAAGCTTCACTAGAGACAGAGTGGGGGGCGGGGGAGAGCAGAACAGGTAGATGGAAGAAGTACACTGCTGAGGGGAACAGCGGGCGTGTCAGGAGAGGTCTGCCAAGCCATGTGGTTACCTCCGGGGCAGGCGGGAATCGAACTCATGGGGAAGTAGCTTTCGCTTCTTAGTGCTGTGCTTTAACCCGCTAGGCCACCAGGGAGGGCCATGACTAGTATCTTAAAGAAGAGAAACTCTTTTGACTACTTTTGTCCCTACTGGTTGAGTACTTAGAAGAAATTCTCAATCTGTCTGATTGAGGACACCTGTCACTAACTGTTCTCCTTTATCATAGGAGACTGAGAAGTATGCGGTATTGTCAAGGATTAAAACCAGTGAATTTACTAACCTAGCTGAGAAGCTGTACTTGATAATCCTAAAACTGGATTAATCTAAAGTGCAGGATAGTGTCATATTAATATGCTGTTGTCTTATACTTAATAGTAACTTCAACAGTTACCATGTGTAAAGATGACTTACTGAGCTTCTCGTTGCTTTGGTTAATAAATTATTATTCAGTTAAATTAACTATGGTGATATAGCACTTTCAAAAGCAGTATGTCCTATGAACTTCTTTGGGGGAAATGTTATTTTTAAAATAATGACAATGTCAAGATTTAGACTCTTGTGATTGAGTCTATAGTTAATAAGACTGAAGTTTAAAAGGTGACCAGAAAACGCACCCGTGCCCTCTTGTGGTGATGTGATGCATAGCTCTCCTGGTCTGTAGCCCTGTTAAAAGACAGAATAAAATTTATTTTTGGTCTTGCAACTGGTCTTTAATTTGGAGTTTAGGATTTTCTATTTTTATTATTATTATCATCTCTAAGTAGTGATGTCTTTTTATTCTCTCCCTTGTCATCCCAGAAGGATGCCTTATAACTAGAAAGTTTCTAAATATTTCCAAAAGCATTTCTTTTTCTCCTGTAACAATGATATTAACTTAATGAAGAATTCTTAACTCTTCATTTCCATTATAGATTTGTTTGTGTTCATTTAAATCCTAATGCTCACTGCTAAAGAGATATATCTAATATTGATGTCAACAAAATTGCATTTTGGTCAAGCATAACTGGCAAAGGCAAGATCCACTTTAGCTCTGGGTAGGACCGGCCAGTCCCTTAGAAATTCTGGGTTGTATGTTTTTTGTTTTTTTTTTAAGATTTATTTATTTATTCATACAGAACTGGGGTACAGGCCAGAGATGCGGAGGGTGAGAGGCTTCACCAGAGACAGAGTGGGGAGCAGAACAGGCAGATTGACAAAGTACACTGCTGAGGGGAGCAGTGGGCGGGTCAGGAGAGGTCTGCCGCGCCATGTGGTCACCTCCGGGACAGGCGGGAATCGAACTCATGCGGAAGTGGCTTTAGTTTCTTAGTGCAGTGCTTTAACCCGCTGTGCCACCAGGGAGGGCCTGTATGTTTTGTTTTTAATTGAAACCAGTGTGATGGTTTTGTATATTGTGTCTGCATTTACTGTCTGTATTTACAAGGCAGCATCTAGATCACAGAATACTATTTCTTGATACTGTTTTTCCCAACTTTAACTTTTGTCTAAGCCTCAAGTTGTGAACAGTTTTATTTTTATTATGAAGGAAGAGCCCTTAAATTGAATCTTCCCGGCCCTCCCTGGTGGCGCAGCGGGTTTAAGCACTGCACTAAAAAGCTAAAGCCACTTCCGCATCAGTTCGATCCCCGCCTGCCCCGGAGGCGACCACATGGCGTGGCAGACCTCTCCTGACCAGCCCGCTGCTCCCCTCAGCAGTGTACTTCGTCAATCTGCCTGTTCTGCTCCCCACTCTGTCTCTGGTGAATTCTCTCACCCTTCGCATCTCTGGCCTGTACCTCAGTTCTGTACAAATAAATAAATAAATCTTAAAAAAAAAAAAAATTGAATCTTCCCAACTTTTTCAGTATTCTCAAAACCAAAAGGCTGAGCATCCACTTCAGTTGGCTCCAGAAATACCACTAGAGTAGACAGCACAGCAAAGAGCTGAAAAGAGACGTAGTAGAGGTGAGGAATGACAAAAAGAACTCCAGATATTGGAGTGATGAGTGATTACAAATAGGAAACCTCAAGAGCAGATTGAGAGAGAGGGGCAAGCAGCTACTTTATCCCAAAGGTGATTACTAAGGGAATTCTAAGAAATGTTGGGACTTACTATCATTATATTTTTTAAAGATTTGTTTGTTTTATGCATACAAGAACAGGGATACAGGCCAGAGGTGCAAGGGCCGTGAGAGGATTCACCAGAGACAGAGCGGGGAGCAGAACAGGCAGACTGACTGAAGTACACTGCTGAAGAGGGCAGCAGGCGGGTCAGGAGAGGTCTGCCCCACCATGCGGGTCACCTCCCAGGGCTGGGGTCCTGTAGTGGCTGCCACTAGCTTCATAGTGCTGCACTTTAACCCATTGTGCCACCAGGGAGAGCCCAAGACCAGCAGATTTTAAGGAGAAGAAGAGAAGTCAAAAGGAATAAATCAGAATATCTGACTATGTGACATGTTTTTTTCTAGTATTCATTGAATGAAAGGAAGCTTCTGGAAATGAGGACAGAAATGGTGGCATTGGTAAGAAATGAGACTGACTTCTTGTTCTAAAGTTACTCACCTTTGCTTCATGGTTACCGTTACTTTTAATAATATAATGTTACAGGAAAACATGCAGGTTTGGTGTCATAGGGGTTTTTTTAATAGTAAAATACACATAAAAATTGCCATCTCGGCCACTTTTAAGTTCAATTTCAGTAAGGACATTCATAGTATTATGTAGCTCTCACTACCATCCATCCAAAGAATTCTTTTTCATCCTGAAGAATTGAAAATTCCCATTAATACAAACTCCCAACCCCCCAACTCCCAGATTGTGGTTACAGCTGTTCTACTTTTGCCTCTATGGTTTTGACTATTCTGAATACCTCAACTAAGTGAAATCATTTTGTATTTGTGCTCTTGTGACTAGTTCAGTATCCTGAACATAATGTCCTCAAGGTTCACACTTATAACATGTGTCAGATATATCCTGTTTTATAGATACCACCTTTTGATTATCCCATCAGGGACTCTAGTGGTGTAATAATTTGTAGTGCCATAAGAACATGGCCATACAAATATCTGTTGGATTCCCTGTCTTAATTTCTTTTGGCTACATGCCTAGAAGTAGGATATCATAGGATTTTTTTTTTTTTAAGATTTATTTATTTAGGCTTTCAGAACTGGGCTACAGGTCAGAGAAGTGGTGGGTGAGAGGATTCACCAGAGACAGTGGGGAGTAGAACAGGCAGATTGACAAAGTACACTGCTGAGGGAAGCAGCAGGCGGGTCAGAAGAGGTCTGCCATGCCCTGTGCATCATGATGCTCCCTGGCCAGGGATCGAACTCATGCTGCACTGGCTTCATAGAGCTTCATAGTATGGTGCCTTATCATGTTGCACCACGCAGGGAGAGCCAAGATAATTTTTTTTTTTTATGGCTTGCATTCTATTCAATCCTGTAATACTTTTGATATATGTAATCTGTAAGACACTGCCATGGGGAGAACACTGAAATATTCCTTTAGGGTAGTTTTCTGTTCATCTAGGCATTTATTTCTTTATTGGCTACCTGATTGTTAACCCTAATGGAGCTATCTACTTGCATTAGGAAATTTTTGATGAAGTTGCTCTGGTGTTTTTATGCATTGATGAAATACTACAACCCATTTATAATATCCAAACTCACCACCTTGGCGTGGATTATATGGCTAGTTTAACTGTTTTATTTCTGTATTCCTCTCATTAGAAGAAACATATGAAAGGGTGAGACACATTCAATGCCATTGCGAGCAGAAGGGTTTCCTAACATCCCCTTATTTTAGAGTAATCTGTGACTTATAAAAGCTTTTTAATGCACATTTTCATGTTTGAATCTCTAAAGATCCTGTGTGCAAGAGCCAATGGTATTTTTCTTTTACTTTTTAATATGCTTTACTAATAGAGAAAAA